CTTGTTGGAAAAGGAAAGCTAGATACCACCTCGAGGTGGATTAACGGTCCCCAGACTCCGCCCTCCTCCCCGCCCCAACGCCGCCGGCCACCAACTGGATCCTGATTGGCCGGTGGAGGAGGGAGGCGGAGCCCAAGGGACTCCTCAATCTGGGGCCGGACTTCCTCCCTCTCGGCTTTGGCCAGTCTTCGTATCCGCCGGTTTCCTGCTCTCTGCTGCCGCCTTGGGGTCAAATCCGAGTGAAGCGCAACACCGCTGCGGGATCTCCTCGCCTAACCCAAAGCCTGGTTTTCACGCAAGCTCTCAGGAGGAACGGGTTTTCTTCACCACGAAATTTCCTCCTCCAGAACTCTTTCCATATGTCTTATCTGCTTTCTATCACTGGTTGTCTCAGTCCAGTCCCGGCTCATTACAATTAACAACGACATCAGCACAGGACTAGGTGGTTTACTAATTGCATTTTCAGCGTTTTCTCATTTGATACTTAAAAGAGCCAGTCCCTCCCATACCTTCCCCTTTAAGTCCTTTCTCTTTGCTTTTGCCCTCCCGCCTTTACCGCCCTAAGTTTAAAAGACAGTCTTGCAGAGGAGCTGAGAGGGTGTTTCACGGCCTTCTAGCTTCCAGAGCACGACTTCACTCGCATTGCTTCTTCTCCTGGCAGTTGACATTCGTTTTATTGAAACTCTGGTAAAGGTGATCCACCTTGAAATACTCTCTTAACTTTAACAACACACTCCCCTCGTTTCTTCCTACAGATTGGCTGCTTCTTGTAGGTCTCCTTTTTCTCAACCAAACCTCTCGAAGTGGGGGGATTTATCTTTCCCCCCTCTATTTTCCCAATCCCATGGTTTATCAGTTACATGCTGATTCTCAGTGTTGTATGGAGACAGCTTGCCCTTCTCCCCTGAACTTCAGACTGTATTTCCATTTGTCCTTCTGATGATATCTCCACACAGATGCCTAAGAGGCATGTTAAACTCACTTTCTCCCAAAGAGAGCTTTTAATCTTCTTCTCCAATACCACATAAATCTGTTTTTTTTCTCCTGTCTTCATTGGTAAATGGCACCTCCATTTTTGGCTCAAATTCAAAACACACAGCATATCTTGATTCCTTCTTCACTGACCACATCCAGTCCACCACTGAAACCTGTTGTTTCTGCCTCCAAAATGTCTTTTGAACAATTCACTTCTCTCCATCCCCACCCCACCCCCTAGAGCTTGCAGTCTACCAACTTTCCCCTGGATTACAGCAGAAGTCTCCCAACCTCAGTGGATGCCTGGCTTCCCTCTACAATCCTTTCTCCAAACAGCAGCAGTTGGGACACAAACACATAAATCAGATTTTGATACTGCTCTCAGTTAAAGCTCTCAATGCCTCCTTAGGCTATTCCTTTTAGAATAAAATCCACAGTCCTTACTGTAGCCTGAGGCCAACTCCCTCCCTCTCTTCCACTGTGGCCTCAAGTCCACTACTTTCTTCCTTGCTCACTATGCTTCTGTCACACTGGCCTCCTTGGTGTTCCTTGAATGCCACAGCCCTTTTCTATGCCAGGATTTGCATTTGCTCTTCCTTCTGCATGAAATACCTCCCCCTTTCACCCTACCTCTTTTTGTATCTGTCTCTTTCTCATCTGTCAGCAGAGTGTCAGCTGAAATATCTGCTCTGCAGAAAGGCTTTTCCCCACCACTCCTACCATGTCTCAAATGGGCTCCCCAGTTCCTATTTTATTACCTATTTATTTCCCTTAGAGAACTTATGACATTCTGTTATGATGGTCATTTGTTTATTTGCCTATCATCTCTCTCTTCTGGCTTCAAGAGGGCAGAGATCATGCCTGCCAAGTTTATGGTTTTGTGCCCTGTGTTTAGAATGATGCCCGAGACATGGGAGACTCTCAACAGATACTTATTGAGTGGATATTTATCAATGAAAAATGAAACCATTCTCTCCAAGACCTGATCCCTCTGTCTCTACTATCTCTTGAATCTGCCCCTACCATCCTTATAACCACTTGCCTAGTTCAGGCTCCATCACCTCCAACCTGGATCTCTGTAATAACCTCCTGCCCAATGGGTCTCCATGTATCTCTTGCCCTGCCATCATTCTTCACATTGCAGTCATGAAAATGAGGTTTTAAAATGAAAATCATGCTGGGCTCTGCTTCAGTGCTTCATTGGCTGCTGGCTTCCTGCAGGAGGAATTTAAATCTCTTAGGTCAGCACTCAAAGCCCCTAGTGCTCTAGCTTCTGCTGCCTCCTTCCGAGGCATCTTTCCGAAATCCCCACCACCATCACATGCATATGACCACAGAAATCTGCCTACAGTTCCCGTAACAAGTCAGGGTTACAAGTTCTCATGTTTGTGAGATGTTCCCTCTTCCTAAATTCCCACTGCTCTCCCTGGGCCCCCATCCATCTAACCCTGCTACCTCCAGCCCCCTCTGGAAACCAGCATTCATCACACACTGTGTATTCCTTCTCGGGACTTCTCAACCCTCCTTCTGGTTCATCAGCTCTCCAAGGCAGGGCCTGGCCCTTTGAGTGGCCTGGTCACCCTATGTTGCCAGAACATGTCATTTAGTAAAGAACACAGCTCTAGAGTCAGGCAAGGTCTGAATCCATGGGCCACCGCTTACCAGTCAGTGACCTTAAACAGGTCCAAACCTTGGATTCTTGATCTGTAAAGTGAGGATAAAAATGGTATCTATTTCATGGATAGGTATCTACTTTTGTGAGAATTAAATGAAATATATGTGAAGAGTTTAGGTACAGTGAGCTGGTAACAGAGGTGCCTTAAATTCTTTTGAGTGAACAGATAAACGTCAGGATGAAGTACTGAAATACACCCCAGTTAAGAGGCACCCAATAAACTTTGTTAATTAAATGGTACACATGCAAAACAGACTTCATCCCTTCCACTGCCCAAAACTTGCAATGACCTCCCATTGCCCTGAGGTTAAAATATACTCTCCTCCACACAGCCTTTAAGGTCCTCTCTATACTGAGCTATGTCTGCTTCTCCAGCCTGGCCTTCCCTACACACACACAAACACACACGCACACACACACAAATACTGCTTCTTGGCTCCATGCTATTTCTCTCACTGTCCCCTCTGCCTAGAATGCCTATTCTGCCCCTCTGTCCTGGTTTTGGTGCCCTTCCTCTATGCATTTACCCTCACGTCGAACACATGGTTTTTTTCACCTGCCTTTCTCTTCTGACAGAGAACATGGACCCTGGGTCCTGCCATTATCTTCCAGCTGGAGGGTCTGACAAATAATCACAGCAAATAAAATATCTGTGTTGAAAAGATGCACGTGGTGTGGCGGCAATAACCAGAGGGTCAGCATGGGCCAGATGGGTAAACTGAGACCAAAGTGGTGCACTCTCAAAAGCGACAGAGCTGGCTGGGTATCAAAACTGACATCACCCCCATCCCCACCATGAGTTGCTTGTGTGCACCAGAACGAATTCCCAAGGGTCTCTGGTCTCCGGTAGGTGGAATCTGAGTTTCCAGATGCAGGATCTTCTGAGTCCTTAGGTACAAGGTACAATGGCTGCACAGCTCTGCAGATTGAGGTAATAAAAACATGTTGTGGCCATGTATACTGACTTTCTCAGTTCCTCAGGCTGGATTATCTTCATCCCTTCTGATAAAGGAACCCAGGCCCTGGTATGAAGAAAAAATATGACCCCATCTTCTTTCCCCTTGGCCCTGGAGGTCCAGGCTGCCCTTTTCCATGCTGGCTGGAAGTGACTTGGGAGCCTGAGGGCCAGCAGAAGGCAGTGAAAGGAGAGCTGGGTCAACTGGTACAGCTGCTGCTATGGCAGCCAGATCCAAAGGAGGTCACCATTGATTCCACAGGCACTTAATTCTTCCTGCTGAGGCATGGGCAGGGTTGACACAGAGAGCCAAGGGGGAAGAGTGGGGGTGGGAACAGGATGGTGCTGGAGGCTGGGGTGCAGCAAGTAACTTTCTCTCTCTGGGCCTCTGTTTAGTGTAAGGGCACAAGGTATAACTAACACCATTATCTGATCCCTATAGTTCACTCCCCGGCAAGGTTTGTCACGGCTGCAAGATTCATGTCTGGATAGGGGTAGGAGTGCGCGATGCTGATGCAGGAACCAGAAAGGACAGCTCTGAGCAATGCCCCACAAGAGTAGGAGAAAACTGCATCTGGGAACCCCTGAGACCCAGAGGCAGGCCTCCTCTCCCAAAGAAACCCCGGAGTCCAGCCTCTCAGCACCAGGTCCTCCCGTTATACGACTCTCGGGACGGTACTCTCCGAGACCGAGACAGGAGCCCTAGGACGCCGCCCTGCCAGGAGGTTCCAGGGAGAAGAGGACCACGTTGTCGCCACTACCCCAGCGTCAGGGAGGAAAGGAGTCTCTGGATGCCCCCATTTCTGGGCTGC